ATTTTGTTGAGGTGTATAAACACAACTACTTTGATGAACTATGCCAAAGGAAGATAACATTTCATTACATTATGAACTGAAAAATTATGTACCATTGTTTGATCTCAGTACTTTTATAGAAATATCAAACTGATTTTTTACCATTACTAAGAAGTCTTTAAGCACAATTGAAACCTCAGATTTGGATTGAAGTAGCCATACCCAAGTATATCTACTGTAATCATCTACTACAGTTACAAAATATTGTTTTCTGTCAAATGTAGCCTTTCTATAGGGTCCCCAAACATCAACATGAATCAACTAGAAAATACTACTAGATTTACTCTTACTAACAAGAAAGCTTAACCCGATCTGCTTTGCCATTGGGAATACTGAGCAATTCTCCTGTACTGTATTATTGACTTTATTCTTTAAGCTAGGAATATGTTACATAGAAACTGTTGATGGATGCCCCAATCTAAGATGCCATAGCTCTGCTTCATTCACTCCTCCAGTTACTGCTGCTCCTATTGTGGGTTTGAACTCTCTTTGTAGAATGTAAAGACCATTACTTTCTCTACCAATCTCTTTGGTTGTACTCATACTACACTCTACACCTCGTGTGCAGATCCAGGTATTTTCGGACACGGCAACTGTTAGATTTCAGAGTGCTATCAATCGGAGACTATCAAGGTAGCTGCCTGGCATCCGCTGACCTTGACTCTATTTTTTTCAGTTATTGTATTGTTCTATACTTTCAGACATTGTTTTTATCAGTCGGGCTTTGTATTCATTTAGATGCTCATGTACTCAGTGACACCGGATTTTGGGAGTATTTTGTTTCTATAATGGTAAGGTTTTCTATTGAATTCAGTATTATGTTTTCAAACTTAAAAGATATAATATTTTTATTGGGGTTGTCGGCTTGCCTAGTATTGAGATAGGCGTCATCACGACATGTGAGATTTTTGGGTCGTGACAAAAAGACATGAATGTTGCGCAGCATTTAGTCTGCGATACTTTAATAAATGATAAAAGATGACCAAATTAAATAACTATTGAATAATAAGTGAAAGTATATTATTACACTAATACAAAATCTTCAGTAAATGTAATTAACTTTTGATTCTTGAAATATGAAACATAGCCTTTTTATATAATTAGAGAAGAAGTGAAAGATTGATTACTTCGATTATACGATTTGATTACTTGAATTGATTTCATTCCAAGTCCTACTAAACAAGTTTGGATCAGAAAATTATAGGGGTTTTCATCTCAACTTGTTTTTTTTATAAAAAATTAAATATGTTATACAGATATCAAATATCGATATCTAGTATCGTTACAAAAAAAAACATGAAAGTGTGCAAAACTTAGTTTGCAATACGTTATTAAATGATAAAAGATGATTAAATGACTATTGATAATAAGTGAAGATATTCCTATACTAATACATTCTACAAAGAGAGTTCAAACCTTAATAAGCTGGATTTTCAAATAAAATATTTACGTTACATGACAAAGCTTCGGACGTTAAAATAAATCATATCAGAGACAATGATGAAAACCACCGATCTCTATAATGTATCAATGAGAATTTCACAAGATCCCATTTTCCTCAAAACTTAAGTGAGAAAAAGCTAAAAAACCCGATCATGCGCCTTTGACATGTCCAGTTTTATCACTACTCATAATCTATGGACCTTCAACTTTTCTTCAATGTTATCGACATGATTTTAGAATGAGACTCCAAATATGTAAGAAACTAAAATCAAAATCTATTCAAATATACATTTTATGATTTCGTTGTGTTACATATGACGTAAAATATTTGTCATATTCATCAAATGAAGAGAATTATTTCTCACACTTATGATTCGATGCTATTTTTCTTTGTTAAATCATCTCAAAACTTTAAGTTACTACTCTGACCAACATCTATATATTAGTATTCGTTTTTAATACTCAAAACCTTTTGATTGAAAATATTTTCACAAAAGTTTTTCTTTGTTTTGGTTGTTTTCTTTTGTAATAAACAAAAATTAATTCCCAAACTTCTCAATTTTTTTATTTATCACTTATACAACTAAACATTGGAAAAAATTACTTATGTTTCTGGTCAAAATAGCGTATGTTGGCCAGTTTTCGCACACCCAATTGAAAAATAGTTAATATTTACAAAGTTATTGAAAGCGACTATTTTATGCGGAGATAAAATCTGGACAGAAATACTCTAGCTGAAACGCAGAAAGTTCCAGCATAATATGATAGATTATGGAGCTCTTGCATATAAGCTACCAACATATTATGTTTGAATTCCTATCACATTATGAAATTATAACATATTATGCTGGAATCTCATGTAAAAAATTCTAAGTCCAAGATATTATGCTAGATTTTTTCGAATTTTTAAGGATATTTTTGTTCAAATTTTATTTTTACTAATTTTCGACTAGCATTTATAAATCACCATATTTCTGATTCCCCCCTACGTTTTTGTTAAAAAACTATTTTCCGCTCTCCAATAAATACTAAGAATATATTATGCTGGAATCTCATGTAAAAAATTCTAAGTCCAACATATTATGCTAGATTTTTTCAAATTTTTAAGCATATTTTTGTTCAGATTTTATTTTTGCTAATTTTTGATTAGCATTTATAAATCACCATATTTCTAATTCACCCCCCCCCCCCCCC